ATCCTGAGCATGCCCTAGACAATCCTGTCACGAAATCTACTATGATGTATTTTCACTTCTACTCCAGAATTGGTAATAGCAGAAGTAGCCCTAGACGTTGATGTTTTACCTTGACCTGCTGACACACTAGACACTTGAAAATAAAGTCGGCCACCTCTCTTTTCATCCCGTTCTACCAAAACTGAGGTCGTATACTTTGATACATTTTAGTGCTTCTAGGTTGCATGGTAAACTTTGAACTATGAGTCTCTATCATGATATTCCTTTTTAGCTCACTGTCACATGGAACCTGTCCTGAAATTTGAACAACTCATCGGCAGATACTCAGAATTATGAATTTATTCCCTATTCTGCATCTTTTCTTAGAGCTGCTAGGGCGGGATCGGCGAATTGGACTTCCTTTATTCTTTGGATCAACTTAGGTTGAATAGTCAAGTGGGTCAGATATGTAACTCTCTTCGGTCCCTGAAGTCATATATGTTATGCAACCCCTATTACCTTGCATTATGAGACCATTAGGTAAGCTAATATACCTACAATTTTTCGGCTGAGTATGTCGGCTACCATATTTTCCTTATTCGGGGGATACAAAATGTTACAATCGTAATCGTTGAGGAGTCTTATCCATCGTCTCTGACGTATGTTGAGATTCTTTTGAGTGAATACGTATTTTAAGCTCTTATAGTCGATATAAATCTAAAAAGTCTCCCCATACAAATAATGGCACAAAGTCTTCAAGGCGTAGATAATTGCAGAAAGTTCTAAGTCGTAGGTGGGGTAGTATTTCTCATGACTCTTCAACTACCTGGACCCATAAACTATGACTTTTCCATGCTACATCAGAACACAACCTAGCCCCAGGTAAAAGGCATCACTATAAACCGTGTATCCACCTGTGCCACTCGACAAGGCCAACACAAGTGCAGTAGTCAACCGCTTTTTTAGTTCCGAGAAGCTTATTTCACAGTCATCGTTTCACTCAAACTTGACGTTCTTCTTTGTGAGCCAGGTCAAATGAGTAGGTAGCCTAGAAAATCCTTCTACAAACCTGCGGTAATAACCTATCATTCGCAGAAAGTTATGAATCTCCTTGACCGATGTCAATTCTTTCTAACCAACCACTGCTTCAAATTTTTTAGGGTTCACTGATGCTCCATCCATTGATATCATATATCATAGGAAGGTAGTCTGCTCGAGACAGAACCTGTACTTACTCAACTTTACATACAACTTCTTTTCTTTGAGAACCTGCAAAACCTAAGTCAGATGGTGAGAGTGTCCTCTTTGCTTTTTGAATAGACCAGGATATCATCAATAAATACAATGATAAACTAATCCAAGAATTGTCTGAAAACTTTGTTAATCAAATCCATAAAGATGGTTGGTGCGTTGATTTGTTCAAATGGCATGACTAGGAACTCATAGTATTCGTACCTGGTTCGAAAAGCGATTTTGGGAATGTTCTCTGCCTTAATCTTTACCTGATGGTAACCTGAATGCATGTCTATTTTGGAGAAGACCTGGACACCCTGCAACTGATCAAAAATGTCATTGATCTTGGGTCTCTTATTCTGCTGAACAAGTACAGTCGGTGGTCGTCTGCGGTGTGAAACCAGGGGTCTGAGGTTCCCCACAGCTGGAGGAAAAATATGAAGATTCCTCTCTACTAGTTGTGCTTTAGCCAGAACAGCTGAATAAGTACTGAGTTCGAATACATACAACTGTTGTCTAATCTCAGGATAGAGGCCTCATTCGAACTTCCTTACCTTTCTGCCATCATCCATCATGCTCTCAAGGGAATACGTGCTAACTCTAGAAACTTTCGGGCATACTCTAACACAGTCATATCACCCTGAACTAGGTGTGCAAACTCTATTTTCTTCAGATATCAGAGATGCTCTATGAGATACTCTATATTGAAAGCCATCAAGAACTATTCCCAAGTGACTGGAACAGGCAGGGTGGCCTGCTTGATCAGCCACCAATGACCTGCCTCTCCCACCAGCATGTAGGTGACAAGTATAACTCTCTATTCAGGAACCACCCCAAGAGTCGTGAAAGCTTTGTCTATCTCAGCTAACCAGTACTTGGTCTCTTCAAAGGAGGATGTCCTTGTAAAAGTAGATAGGTTTAGTCTTTTGTACCTTTCAATGTAGCCTGAGTTCATCATAGGTGGAATAGGGTCTCGTGGAAGATGGACTGGATTGTGCTGTAGAAGGACAAGATAGCCCTGTTGTGGTACTGGATGATACAGTGGAGACACCAGATTGTATTGTGGTGGTGCTGGGTGATGCGATGGAGGCACCGAACCATACTGTGATGGTGCCGAATAGTACTGTGGAGGAGCAAATTGTACCGGGGTGGCTCCGGATCCTCCCACTGCAGCGGTGGCTGAAACTATGACCGCGGAGGAGAGTTAGGTAGCTCCCTCATTTCCTCCCTGGCCTGCTGGGCAACAATGAGTCTCTCTAGCATTTTAAAGAGTCGGTCAACATCCTCGCGAAGTGAACCCTCCCGGGCTGCTCAGTATAGTGGGAGTCATCTTCTCATCTATCTATACCTGCATTTCATAATGAATAGTTAAGCGATAATTCATTTTTTTGTGTTTTTTCTTAAGTTTTTGTGTAAAGAATGATTCCAAAAAACCTGACCCTGATACCAACTATAAAGGTCTTAAACTTAAAAGGATATAAAGTCATAAATTAAATATGGAAGCGAAATAATAGAGTTTAGGGTTTACATTCTTTATACTAGTGGTCGGCAGTCGACTCCCTTCTCCAGTGACTAGTTTTTCTCCGGTGGCTAGGGTTTGGGTTCAGTGTGATACAAAATATTTATACCCGTCTTGTGTTAATTTTGATCGTTCATCGCGTTTGATATCGACCGTCCGATCACATTTATCATCACGATTTGATCTTGACCTCTGATCGCATTTAAAGAGAGAATAAATCTGGATCGTTTATCGCGTTTGAACACGACCGTGAGATCGCGTTGGAGAAGAGAATGGATCCAGACCGTCCATGCGCGGAGGAATGCTTCTGGGTTATCCAATCGCGGTGCACGCGGATTGCTAGCGTGGCCTCCCGTATGGCACCAAGTCAGCGTGTCTTGTAACATAGCACGCCTCGATTCGTCGAGACTGTTGACTGAGGGGGTCCTACGTGGCAAATTTTTTCTTAATTGTGTTTTAACTCTCACTTTCCGATTTTTCTTTCAAAAACATAATCCGAACCCAAATTTTAACTATTTTTTCCCAAAATTATTTTTAATTTCATCATCAATTTATTTATTTTTTCCATAGTTGCACAATAAATTAAAATTTATTAATTTTAAAAATAGATTTTTATATATTTTTTAATGTTAAAATTAATATCGAGCCAAATTTTGGACTCGAGTATTACAAGAGGTGCGACGATGTTGGCAACGATAGAGAGAAGTTTGACGTGCCAATGTTGGTGCTATTAAAAATAAGTGTATATGTGGCCGATGAGTGGCTGGCGTGTGTGAGTGTGCACTAAATGTGTGATTTTAGGAGAACCGAGATTGTATGTATCTGTGTATGATGTTTTGTGTGTGGCTGATTGGGCTAGTGTGTGTGTATGTGTAGTGAGCTGTGAGAAAAAGGTGCACCGATGTTGGTGACGAAATAGAGAGTATCTGAAGTGTCAATATTGGTGCCGATGTGGTATATGTGTGGCCGAACAGAGGTCAGTGTGGTGAGTGCGTGTGTGGGCGGCAGAGGCTGGTGCGGTGTGGTATGTGTATGGCTGAACTGAGGCCAATGCGGCGAGTGCGTGTGTGGCCAACAGAGGCTGGTGCAGTGTGGTGTGTGTGTGGCCGAACATAGGCTGGTGTAATAAGTGAGTGTGTGGCTAAATAGAGGCCGGTGCGGTGTGGTGTGTGTGTGGCCAAACAGAGGCTGACGTGAGGAGTGTATGTGTGACCGAAATGAGGTCAGTGTGTGCGCATAGGAGACATGTTCATGGATAGTGGTGGTATGTGGTTTGGTTCTAATCAGGTGAGTGTTAATACATGCATGTGAGGCTGAGGTAGGGCCTTACATGTGTGTGTGCTTACTGGTGGAGTGGTGATACATGTACGTAGGGCCTAGGTAGGACCTTGTCACATGAGTAGTGGGGTTAAGCTTATGTATTGGATTGAAAGGACTATGTATGTGTAGTCTTGCTGTGGATAAGAACTAAGGCAATGTTGTATGAGTTTTAGGCCAATGTGTAGGCGGGTCGAGAGTAGATGAGGTATATTGGGAGTATTAGTATGGTGGTCTTGTCGGATAAGTGTTGTTAAATGGTCACAGGTGAAAATGAGGATAGTAGCGGGTGGTGGGTGTAGGGGTAGTGCCAGACTAGGGATTCAAATATAATTCCATGCTTTATTTAAAATTCTGATTTTGTTTTACTGGATTAAAGTATGC